CCCCCCCCCTTTTTTTAATTTTGCTAGGCAATGGGGTTAAGTGACTTGCCCAAGGTCACACAGCTACTAAGTGTTATGTGTCTGAGGCCGAATTTGAACTCAGGTCCTCCTGACTGGAGCTCTATCTACTGCGCCACCTAGCTGTCCCTATACTTTTTTTTAAGAAATGGCACTCACTGGGCAGGTAGGTGGCACAGTGAATAGAGCTCTGGCCTTGGAGTCAGGAAGACCTAAGTTCAAATCCAGCCTCAGACACTTAACACTTACTAGCTGTGTGACCCTGAGCAAATCACTTAACCCCAATCACCTCAATAAAAAGCAAAAACAAAACAAAACAAAACAAAACAAGAAATGGCACTTACTGGAATAAATGGCTCTACCACTCAGATGACTAAAGGTAGATAGATCTTCATTGGGATGTTAAGAGGCTCTGGTATATATTTTTGTTTTTCAAATCAGTCACATGACTTTCATACTTCATTGCATTTTTTTTCTTCATAATTTCATATAAAAGTGCTTTTACCTCCTCAAGTAGACTGTAAATTCCTACATAGCAAGAACTTTCTCTTACAGGGCTTAATACAGAGCTATGGATAAAGTAGATACTCTATAAATATTTGTAGTAGGCTCAAAGAGAAGCAGAGGAGACAAAAACTATTCCTATTTCCTGACATGACAGTTTACTCAGAAAATCCTATTGAATCAACAAAAACAGTAACAAAATCCTTATCAGAACAATAACTTCAGAATAGTAGCAGGATAAAAAATAAATTGGCAAAAATCAACACTTCTCTCTGACACACAGAAAAACCAGAAGGATATAACAGAAAGGTTTAAAAATCCCATTCAGAGTAACTACAAAATGCATATAACATGTAGGAGTTGATCTACACCCAAGGCATACTCAAGACCTGTACAGATGCAATCACAAAACTTTTCTTGAAAATTAAAAAACGTGGGGTGGCTAGGTGGCACAGTGGATAGAGCACCAGCCATGGAGTCAGGAGGACCTGAGTTCAAATCCGGACTCAGACCAGACACTTGACACTAGCTGTATGACCCCGGGCAAGTCACTTAACCCCAGTTGCCTCGCAGCAAAAAATAAAAAAATAAAAAACTTAAATAACTGGAAAAACATTCACTGCTCATGGCTAGGTCATGCCAACATATTAACAATTACTCTACTTCCTAAATTAATTTAGAGATTTAGTGCTATACCAAATGAGTTAACACAGAACAAAACAAAATAATAACAAAATTCATTTAAAGGATTAAAAGATCTACCATCTCAAATGAAATAATGAAGTGAACAGTGCTTTTGGACCTCAATTTATACTAAAAAGCAAAATCATCAAAACCATCTGGTACTGATTAAAAAACAGAAAAGCAGGTCAATGAGAAGGATCAGAAAGTGAACTTGGTATTCCAGTGTTTGATAAACCCACAGACATGAGTTATATAAGGAAGAACTCCCTATTTAACAAAAATTGTTGGGAAAATTGGAAAGCACTTCGGTAGAAATTAGGTTTAACCTTATACCACATTCCACAATAAGTTCAAAATGGCTGTAACCTGAATATTACAAAATGTTACCAAATTATAAAAAAATTAGAGAATCAGATCAGTTATCTTTCACTGTTTTAGCAATCTGAATTCTTATCCAAAAAAAATAAAGGCAATCACAAAAACTGTCATAGGAAATTAAAAACTTTTCCATGAACAAAACTGATGAAATTAGGATAAGAAAAGTAATCAAGTGGGAGAAAAAAATCTTTGCATCAAATATGTCTAATAAGACTCAAAGGAATTTGTAAGAATATAAGACCAGATAAATGGTCAAAGGATATAAAAAAAGTTTTCAAAATAAGAATTGAAAACTATTAACAATCATATGAAAGAATGCTTCAAATCATTAGTAAAAACCCTGAGGTTTCACCTAACATCCAGAAAATGAGCGAAGATGACAAAGTATGGCAACAGTCAATGTTGGAAGGGTTGAAGAAAACAAGCACATTAATGAATTATTGGTGGAACTCCAAATTAGTTCAACCATTCTGGAAAGCAATGTGAAATCATACAAATAAAATGGCTAAAGAATTCACACCTTCTAATGCAGATAGATTCCACTGTTGGGTATACATCCCAAGGAAGCAACTGATGAAAAAAAAAAAGAAAAGAAAAACTGCACATACACAAAAATATTTATAGAACAATGTTTTGTGCTAGCAAAGAATCAGAAACAAAGTAGATGCTATCCAAATGGCTTAAACCAATTGTGGTACATGAATGGATAGAAATATACTGTGCTGTAAGAAATAAAAACAATGTGAATACAGAGAACAAAAAGACTTACATGAACTGATCAAAGTGAAGCAGAGCCAAGAAAACATACCCGACTGCAACAGTGTAAATGGAAAGACCCACCACAATACAATAAAAATTTAATGTTGTGATGAAGAGGAGCCAAGATGGCAGATAAGAGGCAAACCAGTTGAACTCTCTCAACATCCCCCTCCACACAGCTTTAAAACAATGCCTCAAATCAAATTTTGGAATGGCAGAGACAACAAAGGGTCAGGGTAAGACATTTTTATAGCCTAAGAAAACTTAGGAGGTGAACAGGAAAACTTTGTGCCACTGGGGTAGAAGCCTATCTGGAGCCCACATATGCAATGGAATCAACAGTGGCTGCAGCAGATTCAGAAGCTCTCAGCCCAGACACAGTAAGGGAGTTGGACAACTGGTCAGACTGAGATCACAGGGGACCTTCTGCTAGCACTGATTGGCAACTCTATTGTCCATACACAGTTCTGGGTCACAGTTCCAGGGCAAAGAGAGGCTAGTGCTTGTGGTTTCAGGGGACCAGGGACCCTTCCTGGGTAAAGAACAGAGCTCAGACCAGAGTAGTAACCACACTTTTTTCTCTCAATTTCATATCACTTTTTAAGCACCAAAAACTTGCAGACTCTCAGAAGTAGCTCTGAAAACAGCAGCACAAAAAAGCTTGAAGTTTAGGACAGTGCCTCTCCACCCTCCAGGTGAGCAGAGCCCAACTTTTAATATGAAGTTCAAAGTAAAGAAATAGGCTGGGAAAAGGAGCAAACAACAAAAAAATAATTTGACCATAAAAAGCTATTAAAGGGGGCAGCTAGCCCTGGAGTCAGGAGGACATGAGTTCAAATCCAGCCTCAAACCAAACACTTGTCACTTACTACCTGTGTGACCCTGAAGATACTTAACCCCAACTCCCTAAAAATAAAAAAATTAAAAAAAACTATTATGGTGGCAGGGAAGACCAAGACAAATTTAGAAGAAGACAACAATGTGAAAACAGCTACAAACCAAGCTTCAAAGAAAAATGCAGACTGGACAAAAAAAAAATATGCAGATTGGACACAAGCCAAACAAGAATTCCTGGAATGTTAAAGAGATAAGAGTGGTAGAGAAAAACACTGGGGAAGAAATGAGAGGAATGAAAGAAAATTATGAAAAGAAAGTTAACAGCTTAGTAAAAAGAGGT